GTGTCAGTCTGGGAAGGATAAAAGGAGGTCCCAGAGCACCTGTCCCTTTGGGAGTGCTCACCCTGTAGGACCTGGCTGCCAGAAATCAGCTGGTAGTGTGATGGGGCCGCATAAGCTCAGGTCCCTCATGATTCTGCCCACATCTGGCCATGAGTTTAGAGACTTGTACTGGTTGCTTGCTTCTGGTGTACAGTTTGGGGCCCTGACGATAAGCAGCAGAAATCAAAACAAAGACAGTTTGCAGGGAGGATAATGTGAACCTTCTGGATTGTTAAGGGTAGAGGAACAAGTGTGGGGAGATGGGGCCAGAGGGTCCCAAGAGGTCAGAGCAAGAAGTACAGCAGTGAGGGGAGCAGGAGTGGCGGCTGAAACCCCCTTGTGTCACCTCCAGATGATCATAGCTGTTGATAGCTTTGTGCTGACCCATCCAAGCCTCCAAAGTCGGTGTCCTGGTCTGGATTTGGGTCCAAATGGAGATTAAACCCCAAGATGGGGACCTGAGAAGCTAGTGGGCCCTGTCATTCATGCTAGAGTTCTTGGGACACATGGCCAGGGCCAAGGAGCCCAGAGGCAAGTGATGCTTTCCTAGGGGCCATTGCTCAAGAAACTTTCTTTTTTTCTGGAGACAAGGTCTCACCGAGTAGTTCAAACTGGCTTTGAACTCACTAGGTAGTCCAGGCTGGCTTTGAACTTGCAGTGATCTTCCTGCCTCAGCTTCCCAAATGCTGGGTGATAGGTGTGTGCCACTATGCCTGGCTAAGAACCCCTCTTGAAGCTGGTGCAGGACATTTTTTCCCAAGGGCTCTCACACCTAATTGGATCCATTAATACAGTGTTGATTATACCCCTACTGTGTGCCTGGCTCTGTCTTGATGCAGCTTCTAGACCTGGATGACATGCTTTAGCCAAGGTGCTGTGTGGCCAGGGTAACGGTGTCTTCCTGAGAGCTGCCTTGTTCACTGGGTGCCACCTGAGGGTTCAGTGTGGGCAAGAGACCTGGCCTTGGGCTGGGCTCCCCAGAAGTAGAGCCTGAGACAAGGATTTCATTGCAGTGGTTATGAAGTGAGATCAGAAAGACAGTAGAGGAGTGGGGAAGTGGGTGGGGAAGGGGGCAAGGAAGAAGGAAGGAAACCAGGAAAGGTGACATCGGGTCTCTGCCCCAGGCTGGGCAGAGTCCCACGCTCACCAGCCGTTGATGACAGGTGCTCTGGGGACTCGAGTTCACAGACACACTTGCTGAGGGCACCTTTCCCACAGGCCCGGGGGGTACACATGGCAAGGACCCTGAGGTTCAGGGGCACCCTGGTGCTTCCACTGCGGCCCACCCAGCCCCTCGGGTCTACTCGCTCTTCTCGTTAGATTCACCCTACTGATTCCTCAGAGCTGTGTCTGACTTCTAGGAAAATGAAACACATGCAAGGGAGGGAAGGAGGGGCAAGGAGCACACTCCCTTGCCCCTACTCCAGGCTTCTCATCCTCGGCCAGCATGGCTGCGGGGCCCAGGCTCTGCCTGGAGGATAACCTTTGAGGCTGCCTCGCCTGGGCCTTGCTGGGCCTGAGTCCCTACCTGCAGGCCAGGTGCATCAGGGGATCCCCCGGGTTAGTCTAATGGATTAGGCCACTGTAACTGACACACAGCATGCAGGCAGGCAGTCTTCTGGGGCTGTCATAGGCAAGGATCACAAATAGAGACTTGGGACATTGGAAATGTATTCTCACTCTGTCGTGGTGCCAGAAGGCTGAGCCGAAGTCTTCAGTGGGGCATATCCCTCCACTCCAGGCTGAATGCTTCCTGCCCTTGGTCATGCTGACCTCAGCGGACCTTGGCCCACATTGCAGCTCTCAGCCTCTGCCTCAGGGTCGCATTGCTTCTCTTGGTGTATCTCTGTTGTTGCATGGCATTCTCTCATGAGGACCCCAGCTCTGTCCCATGAAGGTCCATTCTAATGACCTCTTCTTAACTTGATGACACCCGGAAAAACCCATTTCCAAATAAGGGCACACTTATAAGTCTTGGGATCAGGATTTGAACACAGCCTTTAGGGGGACAGAATTCAACCTGTAACCTCAGGTGTCATAGCCAGCGCTGTGACAGTTAATCTGATTTTCTTAGAATTTCAGGGAGAGAAACTGGTGGACTTCATCATCATCAGTGCAGCCCTGCAGATCTGAGGCAGAGCAGCCTCTCTGCTTTTACTTTTATACCCAGTGTGTGTTGTGTTTCTGGTAACGGCCAAGATTCTGCCTATTCCAAAGCACCTTGGAACTGCCATGAGGCTGTTTCAACCCCTCTGGCTCCAGAAGGGTTAGGGCTGAGGCTAGGATTAGGGTTAGGACTGGGGTTTGGGCTAAGTCTAGGGCTAGGGGTTAGGTTTAGGGCTCAGGGTATCCAGGTTAGGGTTAGCACTTGGGTCAGGGTTAGGGTTAATGTTAGGCTTAGGTCTAGGGTCAGGGTTCAGAGTTAGGGGCCATGGTTGAGCTTTAGGTTAGTCTTGGGGTTTAGATTTTTTTTTTTTTTTGATGCAGGGTCTCACTATATAGTTCGGTGGCTTTGAGCTCCGTGATCCTCCCGGCTCATCCTCCCATGTACTGGCGCCAGAAAGCACATCTTGGTGTTTAGATTTTGGTTAGGGGTTGATTTAGGTTTAAAGTTATACATAGGGCTAGTGTTATGTTTATGTTGCAATTAGGGCTAAGGCTAGGGCTAGGGCTAATATAGTCTTAGGATTATGGCTGGGTGTAAGGTTAAGTCTAGGTCTAGGTCTAGTTCTAGGTTTAGGGTTATGGTTTGGATTATGCTTCAAGTTAGTTTTAGGGCTAGGACTAGGACTAGGTTTATGTTTTGGGGCTTGGGTTATTTTTTTTAGCATTGGGGTTAGGTCTATGGCTAGTGTTAGGGTACAGTAAGGTTTTGCATTAGAGTTAAAGTTAGAATTAGCATTAGGGTTCTCTGTGCTGTTCTATCACCAAGATATTTGCACCATATGTGTAGCAACTGTGATTCTTGCCCTAATTTGTTGCAAAGGAGAAAACACTTGTCTTGATGTACATCCTGCTAACCCTCATCTGAGTTCTCTACCCGAGTAAGTCTTCCCAGAACTCTCCCCTTTCTCTCAGGTTCTCAGCACCCCCAAGGGAGAAACTTCACACACCAGAGTCCCCTGGCAGGCTGAGTGGGCCAGGGTAGGGAGAGAAATGGGAACTTTCCTCCCTGGCCACCTGAGCACCTCAGACCTGCAGCTGCTCCCAGCTTCACGATCACACCAGTGAGCTGTAGCTATCCTATCTGCACCAGCTACGGCTGGCCAAACTGGTCGCTGTCAGACATGCCCTGGCACATCACCTGTGGAGATTCCCTCTAGCCAGGACCAGTTTGCGCTGCATTTGCATACCTGTCTACTTGTGTTGCTCTCTTCCACCTAGATCTGTCCACACCTTTCTTCGGGCCCAGCGTGCATTTACATGCCCTGGTAGGGCAGGGGCTGTGGACATCTGAGACCTGGGAGTGGTGTGTAGAGGGCACTAGGTCAGGGGCCTCTGGAGGCGCTGCCTAGGGTGCCAGCCTGCTAGGGGGGAACAGAGTAGGAGCTGCCATGAGACTTAGAGGGTGTTTAGCGAATCCACGAGCCCCATGGCTGTGAGCAGGAGAGTGGAACATCTTGGGCCTGTGCTTCTCTCTCCTGGTCCTTGCTTACTAACTTGCAACGGCCCAGGAGCCCATGTGGAAAAGAAGCTTCAAGGTTGGCTGAGCTGTTGGGAACCTGGGGAGTGGCCATCAGTGCCCTTGAGGCAGTGGGGCTGGCACATCATCAGGAGGTGTCAGTGCTCCCATCCAGCCAAGGGTCTTTCTGGTGTGTTTCTATCGCTGTCCAGAATGGGTGGCTCGGCCGACGTACCTGGTCCAGTGGCTGTGGGAAAGGTAGAGATGCCCTGAGTTGGTCCCACAGCTCCTCTGGGCCCTCACAAATCCGCTTCTCAGTCACAGCTTCTAGAGGCTCAGACAGAAATCAGAATTGGCCGGGCCTTGGTTGGTGAGGCAAACAGACCCAGGGTAAGGGACAGTGGGTATTGACTCCCTCTTTGAGGGAGTGGGTATTGACTCCCTCTTTGAGGGATTTGAGGGGAAACGGCCTGGGGCATTTCTCACTGAGCACTCTACCCCAGCAGACACTCAGAGTCAAGATGGTGGGTCATGGGGGCTCCCCGGCCCTAAAGAGCCATCCTAGCATCTAGGTGTGCGTGAGGAGCTGAAGTCTGGGCATCTGGAGTGGGCAGGCCCGTGCTGGGATACACAGAAGCCGGTGGAGACCCACATACTCAGACACCCCCAGGGGTGGGAGAAGAGCAGGCAGGACAGGGTGGGCCGTCCCAGGGTGTGAGACCGAAAAGCCCTCCCGGGAGAGGCGTCCACCACCCATCCACCCACTGTGCGTCTGCAGCCTGCCCCGGCCTGTCTGCCTGCCCACCTCGCCCAACATTTTCCGATGAAAGTTCCCAGGGCAACAGCAACACCAACTCATGACAGACGAGCCTGGGCAGGGGCAGGCCTGGGGGTCACAAGCAAGGGACGGGCGGGGAGGGTGGGGCTGGCGTTGGGGCTGGGACTCTCAGGCCACCACCATTAGCAGCTAAGGGGCCAGTCCACAGCCCAGACAGGGACGACCCCTGGGCCAGGGTCTTCATGGTGGTGGGTACAGGTGGGCTCTTGCTTGTCAGTGTCCACACTCAGGAGAGGAGTCTGTGGGGGTGGGAGTAGAAGGATAAGGCATCAGGCAGGCCCACACTGAGTCTCACAGCCCACAAGCACTCCATGAACCTGCACCTACACCTTCTAGTGGGGTGTCACCGCCCCCCTTGTCTGCCAGGCCTTTAAGGAGGGAACTTCAGGGTGGAGCGGGAGCAGGTTCATTTCTGGGCCCAGTGGGGGAAGATGTGGCTGACCTGTCTCTGTGTTGGGAAGCCTTGGGCGGGGCAGCTGGAGGAGGGTGGGGAGGAATTAGAGGGCCACACCAGTGGGGAGGCGGATGAAGCCCAGAGGTTTCTGGGGTCAGTATGGCTGAGAAGAACTCATCCGTGGCCCCCAACCCCCAGCAGTGTGTGCAGTGTCCCTGCTTCCTCTGACCATCCCTAAGCTAGGTTTGGGGCCCATTGAGGCAGGCTCTTCCTTAGGTAGAGCTCAGCCCCAGGGCAGCATGGTGGCCTGCATAGGTCTGGGTTGGAAGTGAGCTCCCTGAAGCCCCCCTTTACCCCACGCTGTACAGGAAACTGGGGGGAGGGGTAAGAAGCTCCAGATGAAGCCCCTCTCCAAGCCCCTCCCCCACAGCATGGCTGAGGCCAGGCACAGGTTTCCCAGGAAACGCAAAGGAAAGGAAAGCGCTGAGGCCAGACTGGCTGGACTGATGGCTAGAACTGGCTGAACAGTGCCCGAGGGGACGCCAGGTGTGGGGACGTGGGCAAAGGCGGTGCTGGCCCTCTCCAGTCCCCCAGCCCCATTCCACCCTGCCAAGTCTGAGGCTAGCAGCAGAGACCCCAGAAGGTAAGTCCCAGCACAACCCGTTCCCAGGGTGTGGGGTACATGGAGGCCTTTGGCTCCCAGGTCCTGATCTGGATCCTCCTGCCCCAACAGGGCTATCTTCAGTGTCCTGGTCACCCTGCCCCTCTTGGAGTCCGTCATGGGAAACTGGGCCTCTAGGCTGGGCTGCCTTGGGGAAAGAAGCCGCTTGAGGCCTGGCCCAAAGGCCCAAGAGAGCCCCTCCCCGCCTGCAAACTTCCAGGGCCTGCATCCACCAGGGGTCTCCTGGGCCTGGTGGGGCACCCGTGCCATCCAGGTGACAGAGGTGACAGAGACAGTGGTGACAGAGACTGTGGTGACCGAGGCTGTGGAGGTGGGGCCTGGCCAGCAAGGAAGGCAGCCAGCCCAGGTGAGGCAGGGCAGCCTGGGGATTGCATGGGTGGGAGAGGCAGCAGGCTGAGCCTATCCCTGTTGCAGGTGCCTCCTGTACTCCTGAATACCCTGCAAAGCTGGTTGGATGGTATGGAGGAGCTGCAGGCCTCCCAGGGGCCCCTGGCCGCTGATGCCACGGTGGCTGCTGCCCAGTTGCGTGAGCAGGAGGTACAGAGTATGGGGAACAGAGCCAGGTGGCAGCACCCGGTCCTGAGCTTCAGGTCAAGCCACCAGCACACAATGCTGCCCTATCAGGAGCAGGACCACAACAAATCCCCCAGGGGTGGGCTGAATGCAGATACCTACTCATGTTCCCATGGCCGGTGACCCCTAAAGGAGGCAGAGATGGGAGGATGCGCTTCCAGAACACAGTGTTCAGCCTCCAATGTCATGTCCCCAAAGTTGCTCCAGTGTCTGCTGCAGGAGCGGGCACCACAGATAGAGCCAAGGCTGCAGGAGGTGGGGAGCCCAGCAAAGCTGCGTGCACAGTGGCACCGCTTGGTGCAGCAGGCAGAGACCAGGTGAGGCCTGAGGTGAAGGTGGGATGGTTCCAGGGCAGAGCGGATGATACCAACTGCCCCATCTTGGTCCCTAGGTGGGGGTTGCTGCAGCAGCTTGTCCCAGCAGCACAGAGCTTTGATGCAGCCCGTGAGACCCTCCTGGCACGGCTGGGCCCGGGTGAGCGGCTCCTGGCTGAGCTGGGACGGGGCCATCTGGGGCCCAAGGGCCAGGAGAGGGTTTTGCAGTGCTTGCAGGTATGACCCACGCCCAGGGTTGGGGCTGGTGGTCTGGCACAGAGCTCAGTGGCATATGTCCTCAGCGCATGTGTGAGGGAGCTACAGCGTATGCCGAGGACCTGGGGAGGGCACTGGAGACTGGGCAGCGGCTGGCAGAGCTGCTCATGGGTGAGTTGACATCAGCCAGGTCACTCAGCTGGGCCAGCCAAGCCTGCCAGGATGCCTTCAACCTCCTCTAGCCCTTCACACACCATGCCTCTGACCCCCATCCAAGTTCCTCCCATGCCTCTGTCCCTGCCCTAGTCCCCAAGGCCCCCTCCAATGCCCATGTCTTGGCCCTGGCCCTTCTCCTGGCATGCTTTGCAGAGGATGAAGCTCGGCTTGTGAGGCAGCAGCTGGAGGGACTCCAGGAGTGTGTGGAGCAGACTGTGTCTGGTGCTGCCCAGGTTTGGCAGACACTGCAATGTGCCCAGAGGATAGGCCGCACTGAACCCTTACCCCCAACAGGCCTAGAGGCCCAGCTGGATCTGGAGGGGGTGGCCTCAGAGGGGCCAGGGCTCATGGACCAGGAGCAGGTGTGTATCCCCTCGTCCCTAACCCTCGGCAGAGGACCCTACCACGTCCTGCGCAGTTTGGAGTCCTCCACCCTGGGGAGCAGGGATGGCTGGGAGTGTATCCTCAGGGCTCTCTGCCCTAGTTGGGGTACGTGGGACAATGCTGGCTTCTTCCCCCAGGTGAGCATCCAACTGGCCCAGCTAGCAGAGTGGCTTGAGCAGCTGACATCAAAGGCAGAAGCCCCTGGCCAGGCAGCAGCACCCATGGTGCCCATCCAGAAGCAGTGCCTCCCACCAAGTACCCTAGCACCTTCAGGACTGTGGCCAGGCCTGGGAGGTACACCAGAGGTAGGGGCCAGGTGGGCGAGGGCGAGGCTGTGCCCAAGGCTGGGTTCTCAGATGGTCGTGTCTGTCCTCAGCTGTGCTGCAGGCAGAGCTGGAAGCCCTGAGAGGGTATTGGTCAGAAACTCAGGAGCAGGATACTGGGCTGAAGGCCACGTGGGAGCCAGCCCAATGGATTCCATGTGGCCTAGCACAGCAGGCAGCCATCAAGAAGGGGCTGAAGCCCGAGGCTGGCTGGGCCCCAGTCCTGCAGGTATTTCAGAAGTCGGGGGCAGGGGGAATCACCCCAGAGCTCCTTGGGAGGAAAGGGATGACCATGGGGAGGGTGAACAACTAGGAGACCTGAGGATGAGCTGCTGCTTGCGGTGGAAGAGGCCCAGCCAATGGTGTTTTTCACCTCTGGGATTGGATGGTTGGGAGCGGGCGCTAACCAGCTGCCACAGACCAGGAGGCTCAGCCCGTAGGAACACAGACTCTCTGTGCTCAAGTACAAGGGGATAGCGCCTCCTTAGGGCCCAGAAAGCAGGGTTTGAGCATCCCTTTCCCTAGCTTGTTGATGGCATCTTCTTCCTGTGCATGTCTCTATCCAAATGTCCCCCTTTTCAAGGACACCAGTGGCATTGGTGACCTACTCCAGTGTGATGTCAGGCAGACAGGTCACCAAGCTGCTCTGCCAGCAGGAGTTCCCAGAGGGACAGCAGTCCTTAGTGGTGTCTTGGCCTTGGAGGGGCCCAGCATGGCGAGGAGGGATCAACTTCGAGGGCACCTGCCACCTGAGCCTACTGATGAACCTGCCAGGCAGCCAGCCTGCCATGTCCTGTCCTCCCAGGGAAAGGTCAGCTTCCCACTCGGTGGTCCCCATCTATTCCCCCTCTCCTCCATCTGGCCCACATCTGCCACATCTCCTCTCCAGGCCTTGCACCCTGGAGGGGACACTGCTGCTCATAAGTCACATCATGGAGGAGCTACTCACATGCCCCTATGGATCAAGCCAGGCTGAGCCCCTCAGGACCAAGGTGGGACCTATGGCCAGAAGCTCCCACCTGTACAGTGACTTTGTGGAACAGTCCAGGGTCAGCATTATGCACTGCCCTCAGGTGCCCTGGGCCCCCCTTGACCCAGGCCCTCTGAGAGCCCCTGTGATCCACAGAGGATGCTGGGCGGCACAAGCAGAAGCACTGGCTTCAGGCAGCAGTGTGTGAACGTGGTTAGGGAGGGGCACAAGAGCCCACCTGGTTCACATCCTGATACTTTCCACCTCTCTCCATTCCTTCACACCCCACTGCATAGAGCTGGAGGCTGGAGGTGCTACCTGGAGTCCTGGGGGCTGACAGGCTGAAGCCCTGGGTTGCAGCCCCAGAGCAGGTGCTGACTCAAAGGGATCTTGACCAGGCTGGCATCCCAAGAGTGTCCCAAGAAGACCCAAGCTGGCTGCCATGGGCAGAGGCCACCATGGGGAGCTGGAGCCACTGGAAGCTGCAGACCAGGGAAAGGTGTTGGCGAGACGAGGATCACTTGGAGCAGGTGAGGGTAGATGGCACACAGTACCCCCTAGGCTCACCAGAGTCTTGGCCTGGCCAGCTCACAACTCACAGCAAGGGGATTTTGTGGCCTGGCAGAGATGCACTGGCTTGGCCAAAGGAAAGAGGGGGTCTGGGGTCCATTCTGTATCTTAAGCCACAGAGAGCACTGCCACTCTTCCCAGCAGGGTTTCATGGACCATGTGTTGGCACCTGGTGAGCAAGGAAGGGACGGAGTGGGCTGCGAAGCTACCTCTGGGGGACTTGGGCCCACATCCCAGCTCATCGCCGTGCTGGAGTCAGAGCTCCCTAACAGCCAGCAGCCACCAGCACATCGCATGGCCAGAGCAGGGGACACAGATGGGGATAAGCACACAGGGTGCCAGAGATGGGTCCACGATCCAGAGAACCTTGGTGAACAGGTGTGAGTTTGGGCCCGGTGGGTGGGTGTTAGGGCAGAGCCCGGGACTTGTTTCCGTACCCACAGGAGGTCTGACCCGACCCTCCTGGGCTGTGCAGGTGGCTCGGGGGGCCCTGATGGTTCGTGTTGGAGGAGGCTGGGTAGCTCTGGATGAATTTCTAGTCAAGAATGACCCAGGCCGAGGTGAGGGGTGGGGATGAGGGGTGCCAGCTCTCAAGGCAAGGGTTGGGGGCAAAGTAGGCCCCAGGCCCTGCCCAGGGGGGTGAAGGGCATTCACCCTAGCCCTGTCCCCCCACCCCTCCTGGGACCTCTGGGCAGCAAAGGGGAGGACCAGCCGAAAGATCCACGAGAGGTTCCAGTGCTGGGTTGGGGCTCAGAGCCCAAGGGCTCAGGATATCATCGCCCTGAGGCTCTGGACCTCTGTCTCCAGTGCCTGCACCAGACCCCTGCCTCGGAAGGTGGGTGTTGGGATGGAACAAGGGACCTTCTCTGAGCCCAGGTGGAGCGGCTGGGCATTGGGATGAAGCCTGACCACCCCTCCCAGACAGGGCTGCCAACCTCCTCAGCACACAGAGATTCCAGCCCTTCCAAGGTCAAGGCCACTGAGGGGCCCAAGAAGCAGAACCCCAGAGGACACCAGGACCCAGCAGGCACTGGACAGAAAGCAGTGCGTGGAGTCATCCTCAGGGGGCTGAGCAGGACCCAAAGGACGGGGACTGGATGAAGAGTGGCTGGGGACAGCAGAACCTCAGTGCGGCTATCTTGCTCCCACTCTTAGGCAATAAAAGGCAATAAAGTCGCGTTGGGGGAACCGAAACCGCAAGCTCGGGAGGGCCACATTTCCCTTGCAAACTCCATTCAAAGGCTGTCGGGGCGGGCACAGGTCGCTCTGCGCCCCACCCTCGCGCCCGCCCCACATTCTTCCACGGTGACTCGAAGTGGGAGGGCGCGGGCAGGGTCCCCTCGCTCCGCAGCCCCTCCTCGCCCAGAGGTGCTCACCAGCTGCCCAGTCAGCCCAGGGTTCCGGGCACCTGCGACCAGACCTGACCAACTCCCAGGTCCCTGCCCCCGCCCCCTAACGGAGGGCGGGGCAGCCGCAACCTGGGGCCCCGCGGATTTAAAGGCGCGGGACACGGGGCGCGGGGCGGAGGAGCAGTGGATCGGGAGGAACTGGGGGACTTCGGACTCAACGCAGGCCGGCGTCGTGCGGCAGGTGCGCCTCTGCGAAACCGAAACACCTGTGCGAGCTGAGGCAGAGGCCCAGGCCGCCGGGGGTCGTGGTGGGGGCGTGGTGGAGGGGCGCGGGGACCCGGGCTCTTGTCTCTGCCTTTCCGGTCTAGACCCTGGGCACTCTGAGCTCTAGGTTCGCCGTTGGAGAGATTGAGACCCAGGGCTGGGCATGCCACTGTACGGGGTTCTCACTGGCCAGTAGTTCCAGGTGGGTTGGATGCTCCACACTGCCAAGCGGGCCTCAAAGATCCGTTTCCTCCAGCAGCTGACCCCGGCTTCCTTTTGTGAAGGGAGCGTCTGCAGAGGTGGCCAGGGTGCCCATGGTGGGAGCGTAATTAGGGTGACAAGTTGAGAGTGGCACCTGACAGCAGCTCTGGGGTAGGGTGGCAGGGTTGCCCTGTGGAGGAGTCACACGCTGTCTATGGTCAGGGGCCTCTGGAAGGGAGAGGCAGGAGGGTCTCTGCCTCCCTGCCCCTACTGACCCATCATGCCAGCTCCTATGAGGGCCATTGCTTTCTGTCTACTTGGGCAAGGTGCGTGAAGTCTCCTAGCTGTCCACAGTGAGGCAGAGGTGTGGGCGCAGTCACCCTGGCTTTCTGGTTCTACTCTGGCCTGACTTTGGGGATACCTTGTCCTCAGCCAGAATGGAGGCCCACTCCTCAGTGTGGTGACATGGTGGCCCAGGCCCTATCTTTGTGCGTCCACCCAGCTCAGGAATGGCCTTCCCACCTCTCAGCACCTGGGGGCTGCCTGAGATGGAGCCCTACAGGGAAACAGAACCTGCTTTCCTTCAGATGCCTTTTGTCAGGGAAATCACCTCTTGACCTTGTTAAGCCTGGAAAGCTACTAGCCTCTTTGTCACATACCCAGCTCACTTGTGCTGGTGGCCCCCTCCCTGGAACACTGATCCTTTGCCCAGGCCATCTTTCTGCTTCCTGGCAGAGCCTACTCCAGACACCCTCAAGTGCCCTAGTCTGTCTCAGTCCAGCCATCTTGCCGGGCTCCCACTCCAGGCTGTAGATGTCCTCGTAGTGGCCTGGGAAGAGGCAGAACCTGAGGAGACTCTTACCAGGCCCAAGGTCACCTACGAACCAAGAGGGAGTTCAGTTACAGGCTGAACTTCACACAACAGAACTCACAGTGGGGCCCTCTGCCCCCCTTCCCTTCTGAGGCTTCCTGGGTTGGCAGGCTTCTCCCTGACTCTTTGTTCAGGGAACTGGAGCCGCTGACTGATCTTACCTTGGCTCTCTAGTTTCTCACCCAAGTGTTGTCCTTCTGCACAGCACATGACCTGTCTAGCTGACTGCCCATGTCCAGGGCAAGGGTCACCCAAAGCCATGCCCACCTGGCTCACCCTGCCCCCACTGTAGCCCCGATGCTCTATGTTCCACCTTTGCTGGGCAGCAAACTGACTACCTACCATTGGGCAGAGATCAGAGGACAAGCATCTGACCCTAGCCACACCAGTGACCCTCCTGCCCATGATCTGCCCTGATTCAGCTGGTCTGGACAGTACCACGTGTGGGGCCCTCAGGCTCACAGGCCCTGGGAAGCAGCACTGTACAGAGGGGTAGCTAAGGGGCCTGGGAAGGTTCAATAAGTAGAGTCTGAGACCAAGGCGATTAGGAAAGGGGTACAAAATGGCCCTCACTGAGGGAGGAGGAGGCGGATTAGCAGGGGCAGATCCCTGAAGGCGGGTCTGGGCAGCTGCGTCTACCATACCCACACTGTGCTCCAGATCTGGCATCCAGAATGCTCTGAACCTCTTCCTGAGGGAGTGCACTGGATGGACCAGCCATTTTAAGATTCACTGTTCTGGTCTTGGGCCCCCTCACAGAGGAACTGCCTGTCCTTCCTGGACTTATGGAGACAAGAGCCCCGCAGCTGTCCATCTGGTCACTCAAAATCTTTTGTGATCTGTTCCCAAAGCTTGATTGCTTAGAAACAGTCCCCATGAGACTGTCTCCTGTCCTCTGCACTCTGTCTCATGCCCTTCTTGGGAAGCCGGAAGACTGTACCACTTCCTAGAGCCTGGGCTCTGTCTGCTCTGCCAGAAGGCAGTGGGAGATGAACTCTGCTGGCCCTGTTGAGGTGTCTGCCTGGTCTTAGCAAAGATGGCCAAGAGCCTGAGCAGCAGGATGCTCCAAAAAGAAGGAAAAGGAGAGGCAGGATTTTGCACAGATGGGGGACTGGAATAGTCTCAGGGGTGCCCCCAAGGGTGTTGAGAGGCTGTGACTTGACAGTCACCCCAAGTCATGTGAAGGGACTGAGCGTATGGCTGCCTCAGGAAGAGTGTTCCCTGGGCTGAGGTGGTTCCTGCAGTGGAGCTGTGTGGCAGTGGAGCTGTGCACTCACAGCCCTCCCTGAGCTAGGTAATAGCTGTCCACCCACTGGGCTATGTGACATCAAAGCCCTGGTTTTATCAGGGACTGGGTGATGAACCCATCTTCCCCTCAGGCCCACTTCCCACCACTCACCTGCTCCTCACACATAGTGGTGGGAGGACAGACACCCTCAGGTGGCTGGGGATGGCTAGGGAGGCTCCTGTACCATGTGGCATGGAGGCCCTTGCAGCAGGAGCAGGAAGGGTGCCAATGAGGTTCCAGGAGGACACAGGTTAGCAGGTGCACCAGTGTGTAGTGGTGCCCCCCAGACCAGCTGGGGGGATAATCCTGGTGCCATCCAGGGCCAGAGTGGGAGTGGGTGTGGGGCACCCAAGATTGCCAGATGGAGCCTCCCTCTCCTCTTGATGTCCTGGTCACCAGCAGCACTGAGCAGCCTACTGGGCTGAGGTGCAGATTTGGCGGGGTCTGAAGGCAGGCTGAGGAGCTTTCTGATTTTATTGTTAAATGGAGACAAAGCAGAATCCTATCACTCAGGCAACAGTCCCTATGTCCCAAACAGTCAGGTCCAAAGTGCATTTGTTGAGTTGGACAGTGAGGTGAGTGTGGGTGGGGCCAACCCTCAGACCTTGCAAGGACGGATCGGGCCCCTGGGGTCCTGGATGGGCTTCCGAGCAGAGGGAAGGGTCCAGTAGCACTGAAGGTATGGAGCAATACAGGGGGCAGGGTGTGGTTCTGAGGACACAGGGTGCAAGCCCAGCTTGCCAGGGCAGGTGAACGCAGGGTGGGGGCAGCGTGTACAGTGACCCAGACTCGGGCCAAAAACAACACAGGCCAGAGGTTTGTGATCAAGGTGTGGGAGGACACATTCTCTCCACAGGCTTCTAAGGGAGGGCTCTTCCTGCCCCTCCCAGCTCCTGGTGGCTCCAGGCTGTCACCCTGCCATCTTCTCCTATGTGTCTGTCTTCTTATAAGGACACCAGGTATACTGGACTAGGGCCAACTGCTTTCAGTGTGATCTCATCATAAGTCCACAGACAGCCCGTCTCCAAATAAGGTCACACTGTTCACAAGTACTGTAGTTTAGGACATTGACGTATCTTTTTTTGAGCAATCAGTCCAGCCCAGCTCAGAAGGGGATGGGCCTAGGCAGCCATAGTTGGTGGAGCCAAGATAACCAGGGATAGGTGGGGGTGGGAGGAGGAGGCGTGTCTGCAGAGACTGGGGCCCCCATGGCAGAGGAGCAGAGGGGCCATAGCAGGGCTCACGAGGCAGACTGAGCCCTTAGCAGGACTAGGGGCAGTGAGAGGCCCAGGAAGGGCCTCATTTCCCTGCCTCAGGACCTTGGGGTCCTGGAGTGGAGGTCAGAGGACCATTCATGGGAGGAAAAAGAACACTCAAGCCCTGATAGGTGGCCTGCTGGCCAGTCCTGGGTCCCGGTGGGCACTGTCCCTTAAATCTATTGCTGAGTAGCACCTGTCACCCCTCCACAAGTGCCCTGTGGGGCAGAGAGAGCCCCTTTTCCATACAGCCGCCCCCACCTTCTCACATCCCAGGAGGCAAGCTGTATCTGGGCCCTCTACTACCATGGCACCGCTCCAGGGCTTCAGCTGGGAAGAGTCACTGACCTCATGACTGTGTCTTCCCTGCCTGCCTGTTCAGGGTCCCTGACTGAGACTTTCTGCCTTCTATAGGAAACAAGTGGATCTTGGGCAAGTTCTGCACAACCAGCTGTGTACAATGAATGGCCAGGCTTCTCCTCTTGATGTCCTGGACACCAGAAGCACTGAGCAGGCAACAGTCACCAAAAACATGAAGGCTGAGCTAGGAGCCAGCACCCCGCTCAGGCCCCAAGTGGAGACACCCCTGTGCACCAAAGCCAAGAGCATTGCTGGAGTGTACGTGGAGGCCTCAGGACAGACCCAGAGTATCTATGCTGCTACAAAGCAGGGTCTCCTGCCTGCTGTACTTGGGCTGGCTCTGCTGGAGGCCCAGGCAGCCACTGGGGGCCTTGTGGATCCCACCCAGGGCCAACTGCTCCCTGTGTCCAAGGCCCTGCAGCAGGGCCTAGTAGGGCTAGAGCTGAAGGAGAAGCTGTTGGCTGCTGAACGTGCAGTCACTGGCTACCCTGATCCCTACGGGGGTGAGAAGCTGGCCCTCTTCCAGGCCATTGGGAAGAAAGTTGTGGAAAGAACTCTTGGGTACAGATGGCTACAGGCCCAGCTGGCCACTGGGGGCCTGGTGGACCCTATCCGGGGCATACGGGTGGCCCCTGAGCTTGCCTGCCAGCAGGGCCTCCTAGACCAGGAAACATGGCTTAGTTTGTCCAAGCTGGAGCCTGGCACAGATGCCCCGGGTTTCCTTGACCCCAATACCCAGGAGCAGCTGCTGTATGGCATGCTGCTAGCCAGGTGTGTGCAGGCTCCTGAGTCAGGGCTGGCCTTGCTGCCCCTCAAGATCACCTTCCGTACCCTAGGAGGGGCAGCCAGTGTTGCTGAGCTGCTAGAAGTGGGGGTCCTGGACAAGGAGGTAGGCCAGGGCCTACAAGAGGGCACACTGGCAGTGTCAGATGTGAGCATGCGCCCCGAGGTGCGGCGCTACCTGGAGGGCACCAGCAGCGTGGCGGGCATCGTCTTACTGCCTGAAGGCCACAAGAAAAGCTTCTTCCAGGCCACCACTGAGCACCTGCTTCCGATGGGCACTGCACTCCCACTCCTGGAGGCTCAAGCTGCTACCCGCACCCTGGTAGACCCAGCCACAGGGCAGCAGCTCTGGGTGGATGAGGCAGTCAGGGTGGGCCTGGTTGGCCCCGAGCTCCACAAGCAGCTCCTGATGGCAGAGCAGGCAGTGACTGGGTACTACGATCCTTTCAGTAGCTCCCGGATCCCCCTCTTTCAGGCCATGAAGAAGGAGCTGGTAGACCAGACACTGGCTCTGCGCCTTCTGGATGCCCAGCTGGCCACAGGTGGACTGGTCTGCCCAGCTCACAGGTTCCGGCTGCCCCTGAAGGCTGCCTTACGCCTTGGCTGCCTGGATGAAGAGACTCAGCAACATCTCTCCCAGGCTGCAGGCTTTTCAGACCCCAGCACCCACGGCAGAGTGAGCTATGAGCAGCTGTTGGCCTGCTGTGTCACTGACCCAGAGACAGGGCTCGCCTTTCTGCCCCTCTTGGGGGAGCCCCATGGAGAAGTTCTCCAGGCACCCACATTCATCGAGCACCATACTCGACAGGCCTTGAGTGCAGCCACAGCCTCTGTCTCTGCGGAGAAGTTCCAGGGCCGGCCTGTGTCCCTCTGGGAGCTGCTCTTCTCTGAGGCAGTCCCTGTGGAACGGCGGGCACTGCTGGCCCAGCAGTACCAGGAAGGGGCCCTCTCGATGGAGGAGCTGGCAGCTCAGCTGAAGGCCACCATTGATCAGGCTGCTGCTACTACCAGAGTCACTTTTGCTGGGCTGAGGAACACTGTGACACCAGCAGAGCTGCTAAAAGCTGAGATCATTGACCAAAAGCTATATGAGAAGCTGGAACGTGGGCAGGCCTCAGCCAAGGATGTGGGCAGCCTGGACTCAGTACAGAGGTACCTGCAGGGCACAGGCTGCATCGCTGGCCTGCTGCTGCCGGGATCTCAGGAGCGCCTCAGCATCTATGAGGCCCGAAGCAAGAGGCTTCTCAGGCCAGGTACTGCTCTCATCCTCCTTGAGGCCCAGGCTGCTACAGGCTTCATCATTGACCCAAAGGAAAACAAGAGATACTCTGTGGAAGAGGCTCTGAGGGCTGATGTCATTGGTCCTGACGTGTATGCAAAGCTGCTGTCCGCCGAGCGCGCCATCACCGGCTACACTGACCCCTACTCCGGGGAGCAGATCTCTCTTTTCCAGGCCATGCAGAGGGATCTCATTGTGCATGATCATGCTGTCCGCCTGCTGGAGGCACAGATCGCCACAGGCGGCATCATTGACCCTGTGCATAGCCACCGAGTTCCCGTGGACGTGGCCTACCAGCGTGGCTACTTTGACCAAATGCTAAACTCGATCTTATTAGACCCATCCGATGACACCAAGGGCTTCTTTGACCCCAACACACACGAAAACCTCACCTACCTACAGCTACTGGAGCGCTGCGTGCGCGATCCCGAGACAGGCCTGTACCTCTTGCCGCTCAGTAGCACGAAGCCCCAGCTGGTGGATGGTGCCACCAGAGAGGCCTTCCAGAACTTGCTGCTGTCTGTGAGGTACGGACGGTTCCGAGGACAGAGGATTTCCACGTGGGAGCTGATCAACTCGGAGTACTTCAGTGAAGACTGGAGAAGACAGCTGCTGCAGCGCTATCGGCAGCGCAAGGTTACACTCAAGCAGGTCACGCAGCTACTGGAGAGAGAAATGAGGAAGTGGGCTGACGTCACACTACCTGCACTGCATGGCCGAGTCACTGCCTACCAGCTCCTAGAGGCTGACATCATTGACCAGGAGCTGTTGGACCAGGTGCTGGAGGGGGTGGTAAGCCCAGACACCCTCCTCCACAGGGACAGAGTCCACAGGTACCTTCAGGGCTCAGGTGCTGTGGGTGGCGTGCTGTTGCAGCCCTCCAACCAGAGGCTCAGCCTCTACCAGGCCATGAAACAGAAGCTGCTAATGCCAGGTGTGGCACTGGCCCTGCTAGAGGCTCAAGCAGCCACTGGAGCCATCATGGATCCTTGCAGTCTAGAGAACCTGTCCGTGGATGAGGCTGTGCGCAAGGGAGTGGTGGGACCAGAGGTATACAGCAGGCTGAAGCAGGCTGAGGACTCTGTCACTGGCTTCAGAGACCCCTTCTCTGGGAAGAGGGTATCCTTATTCCAGGCCATGAAGAAGGGCCTTATCTCCGTGGAGCAGGCCACCCGCTTCCTAGAAGCCCAGGTATCCACAGGAGGAGTCATTGATCCCATGGGCCACTACCACCTCCCCATGTCTGTGGCCGTCCAACGTGGCTGCATTGATCAGGAGATGGAGGCTGCCTTGTCTAGCTCTCCCAAGACTTTCCCCATGCCAGACGGCCAAGGGCACACCAGCTATACCCAGCTTCTGGAGCAGTGCCCCCGGGATAAGGCCTCTGGTCTTTATCTCTTACCCCTGGAAGAAAGTGTTCCTGCTGCATCCACTGACACTCAGATCCAGGAGACCCTGAAGGCTACACCAGGGACTGAGGATGGCTTGTCTCTCTGGGATCTGCTCAGCTCCTGCCACTTCACCGAGGAGCAGCGCAGGGGCCTCTTGGAGGATGTGTGTGTCGGGAGGACCTCTGTGTCACAACTACAAGCCACTGTGTGCAGCCAGGTGCAGGAGGCGGAGCTCCTGGCCCGAACCCGTGTCACAGTTCCAGGCCCAAGGGGCAAGATCCCTGCTGTCTGGCTGCAGGATGCAGGCATCATCTCCCAGGACACACTGGTGGCGCTAGCTCAGGGCACACAGTCACCAGCCGAGGTTGCTGAGCTGCCTGATGTGAAGGCCTGCCTCTGGGGGACAGGCTGTGTGGCTGGGGTGCTCCTACAGCCCTCTGGGACTAAAGTGAGCATTTCCCAGGCTATGAGGGATAGCCTGCTGCCCATGGGCCTGGGCCAGAGGCTCCTGGAGGCCCAGGTGGCATCTGGCTTCCTTGTTGACCCACTGACCAGCCAGAGGCTGTCAGTGGAAGATGCAGTCAAGTCTGGGCTGGTGGGCAAGGAACTGAGCGAGCAGCTCAAGCAGGCTGAGAGGGCCGTGGCTGGGTATGCTGATCCTTACACAGGGGGCTCCCTGTCACTGTGGCAGGCCATGGAGAAAGGGCTTGTGCCCCAGAGAGAGGGCTTCCCCCTCCTGCAGGTGCAGCTGGCCACAGGGGGTGCAGTGGAGCCTGTTTATGGGGTGCACCTGCCCCAGGCAGTGGCCTGCAGGCTTAGAGTCCTAGATGAGCAGACCAGCCAGACACTGACAACCACTAAGGAAGACAATAAGTTCTTCTTTGATCCCAATGGCAAGGAAAAGGTGACTTACCAGCAGCTCAAGGAGCGATGTGTGCTGGACAGTAATACTGGTCTGTGGCTGCTGCCATTGCCCCAGGACACTGTGCTCGAGGTAGATGACCACACTGCTGTGGCACTGAGGGCCATGAAAGTGCCCATCAGCATGGGGAGGTTCCAAGGACGCAGTGTGTCACTCTGGGACCTGCTGCGCTCTGAGTACATCAGTGTAGACAAGCGCCAGGATCTGGTGGCGCTCTGTCAGTCTGGGCGAGCTGCAGCCCTCCGGCAAGTGGTTACTGCGATCACTGCCCTGGTGGAGGCTGCAGAGAAGCAGGCCCCAAAGGCCACTTTCAGAGGACTCCGGAAGCAGGTGTCTGCCAGTGACCTATTCAGGTCTCAGCTGATTAACAAGCAGACACTGGATGAGTTGACTCAAGGGAAAAGGACAGTGGAAGAGGTAACAGAGATGGATAGTGTAAGGCAGTCCCTGGAAGGAGGCAATTTCATTGCTGGGGTCCTCATCCAGGGCACCAATGAAAAGATGAGCATCTCTGAGGCCTTGACAAGGAATATCCTGAGACCCGGCACAGCCCTGGTACTCCTGGAAGCACAGGCAGCCACCGGATTCATCATTGACCCAGTAGAGAACCGGAAGCTGACTGTGGAGGAGGCATTTGCAGCTGGAATGTTCAGCAGGGAAACATATGTGAAGTTGCTGTCAGCTGAGCGTGCTGTCACCGGCTACACCGATCCATATAATGGGGAGCAGATCTCTCTCTTCCAGGCCATGCAGAGGGACCTCATCGTGCGCGACCACGGCATCCGCCTGCTGGAGGCCCAGATCGCCACGGGCGGTATCATCGACCCCGTGCACAGCCACCGCGTGCCCGTGGACGTGGCCTACCAGCGCGGCTACTTTGATGAGGAGATGAACCGTATCCTGTCAGACCCCAGCGATGACACCAAGGGCTTCTTCGACCCCAACACACATGAGAACCTCACCTACCTGCAGCTGCTGGAGCGCTGTGTGAAAGACCCTGAGACAGGCCTATACATGTTACAAATTGTAAAGAAAGGAGAGACCTACGCATACATTGATGAGGCCACAAGGCGCATGCTGAAATCCAAAACTGTAGAAATGCATGTGGGGAGGTTTGAAGGCCAGACAGTTTCTGTCTGGGATGTCTTGTGCTCTCAGTACTTCACAGAGAAAAAGAAGAAAGAGTTAGTGTGCGAGTACAGAAGGCAGAACATGGACCTGGACAAACTGCTGACAGTTATAACCACCACCATTGAAGAAACAGAAAAGCAAAGCAAAGTCATCAAGGTGCCAGCCATCCAGGGGGATGTGACGGCTGCAGAACTGTTCAACTCTGGGGTCATCAACAAGAAGACCCTGGACGCAATTTACAGTGGGGAGAGTGGGTACCAGGACCTCCGCCAGCTGGAGCATGTGAACACCTACCTGGAGGGCACTGGCTGCATTGCTGGGGTGACTCTACCCTCCACTGGGGAGGTCCTGAGCTTTGAGGAGGCCAGTAAGGAGAAGCTCATTCCTGCAGGTTTTGCAGTCCAGCTGCTGGAGGCTCAGGCAGCCACTGGGTTCCTGCTTGACCCCCACACCCACCAGAAACTGTCTGTGAATAAGGCTGTAGCAACAGGCCTGGTAAGCAAAGAGCTGCAGGAAAGGCTTTTGGCTGCAGAGAGAGCCTCAAAAGGTTATACTGACCCAGCCACAGGGGAGATGATTCCACTGTTCCAGGCCATGAAAAAGAAGTTAGTCCAGAGAGAGGAGGCGCTGAGGCTGCTAGAGGTGCAGGTAGCCACAGGGGGAATCGTGGATCCCCTGCACCACCATCGCCTGCCACTGGAAACAGCCTACAGACGTGGATGTCTGCATAAGGACATATATGTGCTCATTGAAGATCAGAAGCACATGAAGAAAAGGTTTGTGGATCCCAACACACAGGAGAAAGTCACCTATCAGGAGCTTCAGAATAGATGCCAGAGGGAGGAATCTGGCTGGACTCTGTTTCCACTGATCAGGGAAGCGAAGGATGCTACATATGTCGATGAGGCAACCAAAAGAGCCTTCCAGGCAGAGAAGGTAGATATAAAGATGGGTAGGTACAGAGGCCAGAGGCCATCCGTGTGGGAGCTGCTGAACTCAGAATACGTAACAGAGGAGAAAAAGCTGGAACTCGTTAGAATATATAAAGGAGACACAACACGAGCATTAGAAATGGTAGTTCAAAATATTCTACAAATAATTCAAGAAAAGGAAACACGGACAAAACAGCTATGGTTCCGAGGTATCAGAAAACAAATAACAGCAGCGGAGCTCTGTGGATCGAATATCATCACCAGACAGACATTGGTGGACCTAGAGGAAGGGAAGAGTACCGTAGCTCAAATTGAAAAAAATGAGAAGGTGAAAAGATACCTGGAGGGCACGAGCTCCATCGCGGGGGTCCTGGTGCCCGCCAAGGGCGAGCCCAGCCGCCAGGAGAAGATGAGCATCTACCAGGCCATGTGGAAGGGGCTGCTGCGGCCCGGCACGGCCCTGGTGCTGCTGGAGGCACAGGCGGCCACCGGCTTCGTCATCGACCCCGTGCACAACCGGAAGCTGTCCGTGGAGGAGGCCGTGGCCGAAGGCGTGGTGGGCGGCGAGATCCGGGAGAAGCTGCTGTCCGCCGAGCGCGCCGTCACCGGCTACACCGACCCTTACTCCGGGGAGCAGATCTCCCTCTTCCAGGCCATGCAGAGGGACCTCATCGTGCGCGACCACGGCATCCGCCTGCTGGAGGCCCAGATCGCCACGGGCGGCGTCATCGACCCCGTGCACAGCCACCGCGTGCCCGTGGACGTGGCCTACCAGCGCGGCTACTTCGACGAGGAGATGAACCGCGTCCTGGCGGACCCCGGTGACGACACCAAGGGCTTCTTCGACCCCAACACGCACGAGAACCTCACCTACGTGCAGCTGCTGCGCCGATGCGTGCGCGACCCGGACAGCGGGCTCTACATGCTGCAGCTGGCGGGCCAGGGCTCCGCGGTGCACCAGCTGAGCGAGGAGCTGCGCAGCGCTCTGCGAGACGCCCGGGTCACGCCAGGCCCGGGCGCCTTCCAGGGCCAGAGCCAGAGCGTCTCCGTGTGGGAGCTCCTCTTCTACCGCGAGGTGCCCGAGAGCCTGCGCCAGGACCTCCTCCGCCGCTACCGGGCGGGCACGCTGACCGTGCAGGACGTGGGCACCACCCTCACCTCGCTGCTGGCCCGGCCCGAGGAAGGGGCCCCGTGCGGGGCTCTGCGTGCAGCCACCATGGAGGTCAGGGTGGGCCACCTGCGGGGGCGCGCGGTCCCCGTGTGGGACGTGCTGACATCCAGCTATGTGAGCGGGGCCACCCGGGAGGAGCTGCTTGCCGGGTTTCGCTCAGGGACACTGCCCCTGCCCGCGCTGACCCGCAGGCTGACCACCATCATCGAGGAGGCCGAGGAGCCCCAGGGGGCCCGGCCCGAGCCTCGGGACCCCTCGCCCAACGAGCGGGAGCCGGGGTCGTCCACGCCCTCCCCACGCGAGGCCGAGGTCGCTGGCCGCCACCAGGAGCGCGCCCTGCGTGCCGCCACCATGGAGGTGCGCTCGGGGCAGTTCCAGGGCCAGCCGGTGTCCGTGTGGGACGTCCTCTTCTCCTCATACCTGACCCAGGCCCGCCGGGACGAGCTCCTGGCCCAGCATGCGGCCGGCACCCTGGCGCTGCCCGACCTCGTGGCCATCCTCATCCGGGTCATCGAGGAGACGGAGGCACGGCTCAGCCGCGTGTCCTTCCGGGGCCTGCGGCGCCAGGTGTCCGCGTCCGAGCTGCAAAAGTCGGGGATCCTGGGCCCCGACACCCTCCGGGACCTGGCCCAGGGCGCCAAGACGCTGCAGGAGGTGACGGAGATGGACTCCGTCAAGCGCTACCTGGAGGGCACGAGCTGCATCGCGGGGGTCCTGGTGCCCGCCAAGGGTGAGCCCGGCCGCCAGGAGAAGATGAGCATCTACCAGGCCATGTGGAAGGGGCTGCTGCGGCCCGGCACGGCCCTGGTGCTGCTGGAGGCACAGGCGGCCACGGGCTTCGTCATCGACCCCGTGCACAACCGGAAGCTGTCCGTGGAGGAGGCCGTGGCCGAAGGCGTGGTGGGCGGCGAGATCCGGGAGAAGCTGCTGTCCGCCGAGCGCGCCGTCACCGGCTACACCGACCCTTACTCCGGGGAGCAGATCTCCCTCTTCCAGGCCATGCAGAGGGACCTCATCGTGCGCGACCACGGCATCCGCCTGCTGGAGGCCCAGATCGCCACGGGCGGCGTCATCGACCCCGTGCACAGCCACCGCGTGCCCGTGGACGTGGCCTACCAGCGCGGCTACTTCGACGAGGAGATGAACCGCGTCCTGGCGGACCCCGGTGACGACACCAAGGGCTTCTTCGACCCCAACACGCACGAGAACCTCACCTACCTACAGCTGTTGCAGAGGACTACCGTAGACCAGGAAACTGGCCTTTGCTTTCTCCCTTTGTCCTAGAAGTTTTTTGATTTTTGTCCCTCTGTCTTTCCAGCAGCTTTCACAGTATTTTCATCTTTATTTTATAATTTGTATATTTTATCCTTGACTCTTGTCCTTTCATGTTTGTAAGGGTTTTTGTGTTCTCAGTCTTTTGTTTGATACAGCCTGCTCTTGTGTTTAGTCCTGGTGTCTACCTCTTCAGTGTCTGTTTTCATGGCACTGTCCGTGAAAATCTCCTGTTTTTGTTTGTAATTTGCACTATTTTTTATTAGTGTGTTTTGTTGTTTTTTGTTTGATTGTTTGTTCTTTTATTTTCCCTGTATCACTTTCAGGTCCTCTCTTCTTCACCTGCTGAGTGTTGAGGGAAGCTGCCTTTTCCTTGGGTGTCCTGTATCTGATGCTGAAATGTAGATTGCTCAGACTACTCTTATCTTGATTTGATTCAGGACACCTAGCGGGGTTTGGAGTATGACAGTACTAGTCTCATCAAACAGTGAGGTTTGGGATGTGGGGCCTACTTCTGGGAGTCAGAAGATCACTGGATCCTTGACTTTGAAGGACATATCTTTTCTTGGGCTTATCCGGGCTCACTGCTCCCTGAGGTCCACCAGGTGAGCAGGTTTCCTGCACCCTGCCTCTGCCATTGTATTTCTACTTTAGAGTCAGCCAAAATGAACTGAAATCTCTAAAAGTGTGAATTAAAAATTAATCTTTTCCTTATTTAACATGCGGGTGTTGGGTATTTTATCCCAGCAATGGAAAGGTGACTAATACAACTTGTCAACTTTTTATGTTCCAATTTCAATAAATGCATTTCTTTTCATTATAAAATGACTTTCATGTGTTTGGTTGAGCTTATTTCCTTCCAGCAAAGGTCCTCAGTTACCTGACTGTGAATTCATCAAAGGCAAGAAACTCCAAACACCATCCCACGTTAAGAAAGAAACTTTAAGGCCACAACCTAGGAGCAAACTACTCTCAACCTTGATGTACACCCACTAGGGTCGTCTGCAGAGTCTAGAGCCTTAGTTCAGGCTAAAGTGGCTTCAGGCCATGGGCACATCACCATGTCACAAGTGGCCAAAGTCCTCTGGAAAAAAAATGTACTGTGTGGCACCTTTAGTTCATTCCTATAAGTACATCTCAGAGAAGAGGCAGCTGATCAGGGGCAAGCATCTCTGCTTCCAGCTAATTGGGATGCTGAGGCAGAAAGATCAGTTGAACCCAGAAGTGAAAGAACAGACCAGGTAACACAGTGAAACTTCATGTCCAAACAAAGAAGCAAATAAAATAATATAGTGCCCAGCACATAATCAAAGAAACCGAGGTGTACCAGGAGCTATGACTGCACAGTTGAGCACTCCCAGAGACTACAGATCGAGCAAGAGGCACAGAACACAGCAACCTTGAAATAGTCATGGTCATCCTCTTCATGATTCAAGCCTATACACCTATGAGGAATCTGGAAACTAAATAATAATCTTCTAAAACTGGCCATGGTGGTGCATGCCTATAATTGTAAATAATAAAGCCTTACAGCTTTTAATGTTTGCCTACTTTGCAATGGTGCATTGCACAGCCATTCCATGTGGAATCTAACACACATAATGTTTGCTCTTTAAAAGGTCTGTCCAGCAGACAACCTCATATTTGTTTTTTCTGTTCTGTTGACAAACTGAAATCTGATCTTTTCAACAAGATTTTGAGATAACTAAAAATATAATGTTCAAATAGCTCTTTAAGGAGATTTGATAACTGTGGTAAGATTCTATCTTTGACAGCCTTTTATATTGAGGATGCTTACCGTAGGTATCAGTTATCTTCTACATAGACACTGCTGTCTCCATGCTTCTCTTTCTTATGATTCTTGGTTGACTTTATTGCTAGCTTTCTCAGTCACTTTTGAAAGAATTGATCACTTATTTCCAATTAGTACTTGAGGTACACACACACACATACTCACTTGCACCAACGCCCAAACTCAAGATTGTCAGGTAGTAGCCAGCTATGATCCAGAACCAGCAGTTTCTTGCTATGTGGCTTTCTCAGGACAGCTCACAACATGACCTTGGGTTCCTTAGAGTGAAGGGTATACCAGCCACAGTCCTCTCACCCATCTCAGGGAGGAGTTGCCCCTTGTACCAGCTGTGATATAATCTTGGAAGCATGTCTCTGAGTCCAGTATGCATTCCTAGAAGCCTACAAAACAAGTGTGAAGCCAGGAGACAAAGTCATCAGGGTAGAGAGCAGAAAGGGCCTCCCTGTGCTCCTCTGGTCACTTGTCTTTCTCCCACCCAGAGCCTCCTGGCATATAGGACATCTGTCCTGGCCCTGAGAGCCAAGAGATGTTCTTCCTGCCAGTGGGAAAGAAATAGGTAGGAATTCAGAAAGCAGGTCACCCAAAACTCCACAGGGCTCAGGTCCATATGGTGAAGTAGAGAATGTGGCATGTATTAAACCTGCAGATGGCATTAAGTGCCACAGTAAAAGACTTTCCTGAGAGCCAGAGACTCTCAGAGAACGTGTGATATGTAATAAAGGGCATAACTGAATTGGAATGGCCAGGCATGAAGGCAGGGGCAGCAGGGAATGGGATCTGGAGTACCAGTCAAGGAAAGTCACTGAGGATGTGCTTCAGCCGCCATCTCCAAGAGCTGGCACTAACAGTCAGGCCACAGGATCACAGTGTTAAATGGCTGGGAAGCACAGTGCTGGAGGCACAGTGTTCCCACACATGAACACACGGCATGCACTATTGTTCTTTTTGTGGAGGGCACAATCAGACACTTGAAAGACTAGTACTGTCATAGCAAAGTATCATAAGTAAAGTAGCTACCAACAACACAAATTTTGTCTCACATAGTTCTTGAGGCTGGATGTCTACAACCAAGTTGTGGGCAGGGCTTGTTCCTTCCAGAGGCTCTAGGAAAGAATTCACTCCAGGTCTCTCTTGGAACCACTGGTGGCTCTCAAAATCCAGGCAGTTCTCCAGTCTCTGTTCCTCCTAGCATGGCTGCCTCCCTGGTTTCTCTACGCCTCAAGCCACTCTCTGTTTCCCTCACAAAGAAGCCAAATGTTGGGTTCAGGGCCCTGCTGAGTCCAGAAGGAGCCAATCTCAGCATCCTGAACTGATTTATACCTCCATAGACCCCTTTCCCAAAAAGGCCATGTTCCCAGAAACCAGGAGTTAGGACACAGACATGTCCTTTGGGGACCTCTGCTCAACTCACCATGGAGTGTTTGTGTTTGGTTATAGGACAGAGAAAGAGAAGGAACTTCACAGAGATTCAGTTTAGATGTTACCTCTGGGGCTTCCTTGGGCCATGCCACCTTGCCCCACACCCCTGCTTAACTCTGCCACTCAGCACAATTGCTGAGGCTGCTGGATGTCAGTCAGGAAGAGTAGACATCCTACCCTCCTGAAGCTCAATACCAGCAGGGATACCGAGCAAAGCAGAGGGTAGAAAATAGACATGATCAGGTGGTAAAAGTCAAGTGATGCTAGGATAGGTGACAGGGCAGCCAGCTGGAGGTGACACTTGAATCAAGATCTGCAAGAAATGGACTTGGAGGATACCTGGGAAGGGTACACCAGGCAGAGGGCACATCCAGGGGAAAGGCCCTGCAGGGACAGCTTGGGGCCAGGGTGCCAACAGTGGATTTGATTCGAGAGGGCAGAAGTGAGATCATGAGCAGGGCCAACTGTGGGTCTTCATGCTGAGTGAGAAGGGACCCAGGGTCCCCAGCACCACCCTTAGGTCCAGTGATTTACTGGGAGGTCTCCCAGTACTCAGGAAGCTGTGAAAGCCACAAGTACTATTGCTAGAGGAAAACCACAGCAGCAGAGCTTGTGGGCCAGAGCCAGGGTGTAGAGAAAATTGTCCTCCCACTCTAGCCAAAGGGCCTCCATTTTGGATAGCTTTCTATGGATTCTCATCTGGTGCTGAGACTATGCACCGGTCTGCCGCACAAGAGCATTACCTCCATGGCTGGAAAGTGCGTGTCGAGACTGGCAGAGTTCCTGGGACGGGATGGGAGTGGCAGACACAACATTTGCCAAGAACACTTCTTGTTTTGATCCTGCTTTTGCTGTTCTAATTATTGTCCTTTAATATCAGTAGTTTAATAAAGAAGGGCTGGTGATTGGGTGGTACTGTACTGCAGCCCACAGGTTGTCCACTGCTCTGTAAGCGACTCCTACTAAACTCAATTACTTGCCAGGCTGGACTTGACCAAGTCATTCTTTGGATTCCTTCCCAGTGTAGAGGCAGATGTTTCTTCCACATTTCTCTGGGAAATTCATGAAATACCAAGCAAGGCCAGGTGTGGATGAATGGTCCTTTCAGCCATTGAACAATGCGCATATCTTCCAGCAATGACGTGCAACAATGTGCACAAGTGTCACCAGCCTTGGTCTCCAGGGTTTTACTGGGTTCTGCCACATAAGCAATAGCTGGCTATGAGTGGCTGACCTCAGTGTCTAGCATCTCCAGAGATCGGGATGACATTGCATGGCCCCAGGTCCCTCATCAATCACACTGTGAGCACAGATTGCCTGGTGTGGCCTCAAGTCCCAGGTAAACACACTCAAACCATAAAGGATGTTCCAATGTCTCGAAGTGTGTCTCCTAGGCCCTGCTCCAGGCCCAGTGTCTGGAAGATGCAGAATATGAATGCCCAAACTCACTGAGCTAATCTTTTTAAGGTTAGGTGGGTGACCAGGGCAGGCCAGAGGGTTTGAGCAGGATCCCCTGGTGCTAGGTAAAAGCTAGGAAAACAGTGTGGTCAGCAGAGGGAGTTCCCTTGGAGTTTAAGCCTGTGGGTGCAGCAGGCACCCTGATCTGTAGCAAAGGAAGAGGCAGGAGTAAAAGAGAGATGCTGTGGAGAGATAGGACGGTAGTGGGGTTAAGGGGTTTCTCACGGGAATCCCATAGGGTGTGGTCAGGGAGGCCTCCTGATGTTTACTGCTGCAAGGGGGAGGGGACCCACAGTAGGACTGGAGCACTTTTGGGGAAGAGAAAAACTTGCTTTCCTGGAAGGTGGCCTTGTGCACAAAGGGAGGCACAGAATTTTGAGTCAGTAAGAGATTTTTGGTTATGAATTAAAGTCCATTCCCTCACAGCCTGCTGGTGTATTTATGGGTCACCTTCAATGACCCTCTCCGTGTCCCTTGGGGTACTGGCAGGAACAGCTGGCTCCACTTCTGAGCTCGTAGGGTTTTCTGCAACTGAAGCCAACAGGCCATCGCTTGGGTTGGCCCCCAGATGCCCTGGCCCTAGGTCCCCTCCAAACCCGTGGGGGGCCAAGCTAGACCAAACCCAGGTTGTGTGGCAGGAATGGGGTAGAGATGCAGAGCCAAGAGGAGGCTGCCTCACGCCTGGAGAGGCACGGACCGACACCGCCCATGCTGGCCCAAGAGCCCAAAGCAGCCGCTCTCAGGAGGAGCCAGGGAGGCTCCCTGGAATTCCCAGCTCCGTCCGGCGGGGCCCCTACTGGGGAGTCGACAGAGCCTCCGCCGAGAGCGGGCGGAGCCTCCGCCGACAGCGGGCCAGTGCTGAAGGAACAGAACCTCACTTTGGGCTGGGCGGGGCGCAGCGGGGCGGGGCCCGTCCGCGGGCCTGAGCTCCAACCGGATCCCGGCCCGCAGAGGCAGTTCGAGAGGGGTGGGCCGGCTCCACCCCCGGGCCCGCGGTCCGCCCGCCGCGCGCCCGCGCCTCCCAGTTCCCGGAGCCGGGTGGGGGCTCGAGGCGGCGCCTGCTCGGCTGGGCTCCGCGCTGGGTGGCCGCAGAGCGGCAGAGAACACGGCGGACGGCAGCCTGGGCCCGCCGAACCATGGCGGCCCCGGAGCCAGCGCCGAGGAGAAGCCGAGAGCGGGAGCGGGAGGACGAGAGCGAGGACGAGAGCGACATCCTGGAAGAGAGCCCATGCGGCCGCTGGCAGAAGCGGCGGGAGCAGGTGGGCGGCGGAGGGGTGGAGTCTGGAGCAGCCGTGGTGTCCGTGGTGTCGGGCAACCTGAGGCCTCTCAAGTGGCCGCTTTCTGGCTGGTCCTTAGACCTCCACTCCCCGAGGATCAATGTCCTTCCAGAACCACCTCCCCATGCCCCGGGATCCGCGCCAGCCCTCTGCGGCCCTGCTCCAACCCCTCTGGATACCGCTTCTGGGCTCCCAGGGGCCAGCCCCCTGTAGGTCCCCAGCTGTCCCTCCCAGCGGGCAGGGAAGGGCGTGGGTGGGACTGAGTTCCCACCCTCAACCCTACACTTTCCAAGACACACATTCCTCCCACTCCCAGGTGAACCAAGGGAATATGCCTGGCATCCAGAGCACCTTTCTGGCCATGGACACGGAGGAAGGGGTAGAAGTAGTGTGGAATGAGCTGCACTTTGGCGACAGGAAGGCCTTCGCAGCCCATGAGGTAAGGCTCTCCTCCTCCCGACCTGTCTAGCTCTGTGACTGCCCTGTGACCACCCCCGCTTCCCCAGGAGAAGATCCAAACTATGTTTGAGCAGCTGGCACTAGTGGACCACCCCAACATCGTCAAGCTGCACAAGTACTGGTTGGATGCCTCCGAGGCCCAAGCAAGGGTGAGCTGGGGGTGGGGGGGTAAGGAAGGGTGCAGCGGGGTAGACACCTACCTACAGGCAGAGCCCAACCTGTCCCGTAGGTGGTCTTCATCACAGAGTACGTGTCATCAGGTAGCCTCAAGCAATTCCTGAAAAAGACCAAGAAGAACCACAAGGCCATGAGCACCCGGGTATGGGGAGAGGCTAGGGCCTGGGTGGGGGGAGGGTGGGGCTAAGGACAGTATGGGGGATGGCACAGGGCGGCCTAGGACCAGTGGTGGGCTGTGGCCAGCTTAACAGGCCTAGCCTCTCCTGTGCCCACCCAACGGAAATCATGTGTCTGCTTCGCTGCCAGGCCTGGAAGCGCTGGTGCACGCAGATCCTGTCTGCGCTCAGGTGAGAATAAAGCTGCGCAAGTGCTTGCCCAGTAGTACCCACCATTCCCACAACCTCTGACCTCGTGCCTTCCCCTACTCTCCTGCAGCTTTCTGCACGCCTGCAGCCCCCCCATCATCCATGGGAACTTGACCAGTGACACCATCTTCATTCAGCACAATGGCCTCATCAAGATTGGCTCTGGTGCTGCTGGAAGGGGCTGGGCTGGGTAGGGTGGGCAGGGGGCCTACTGGGAGCCCAGGGCCTGACACCCGCTCTTTCTTTCTTTCTGTGGTGGCCGGCCCAGTGTGGTACCGCATCTTCTCCAATGGTGCGTGGAGCCTCTGGGGGGTGGGGTCTGTGGAGAGGCCTGTTGCTTAGCACCGGTGCTCTTCTGTAGAGCTCCCAGATGATCTCCGGAGCCCCATCCGTACTGAGCGCCAGGAACTGCGGAACCTGCACTTCTTCCCACCAGAGTATGGCGGTGAGTCCAGGAGAGCCCCTGGTGACTGACCTGGCCCTGCATCTGTCCTACCCGCCCTGCCTTGCTCTCCCCCTTTCAGAGGTCGCAGATGGTACTGCAGTGGACATCTTCTCCTTTGGGATGTGTGCGCTGGAGGTACTGGCCCCACCTCCTGTCCCCCTCCAGGTGGGGCTCCATCCCTTCTCACCTGTGCTATCTCTTCTGGGATCCCACCTTGCCCTGACTCCAGATGGCTGTGCTGGAGATCCAGGCTAATGGAGACACCCGAGTCACAGAAGAGGCCATTGCTCAAGCCAGGCACTCACTGAGCGACCCCAACATGCGGGTGAGCAGCTCGCTCCATTCGTCTAGGGATAGCTGAGGGTACCCGAGGTAGGACTATGAGGTGCTTTAGGTAGGAGTAGCTAGATCAGTGTACCTGAGAGCTGTGCCAGCCTCCCTACTAAGGCCCACAGGCAAGGAGGACCTCTTTGGGAGCTAAGGTAGGGCCTCAGGCAGGAAAAAAATTCACAGATTCTAAGGATAAGTAGAGTAGAGACATTCTCTATATAGTTACTATTACTATGCCAATTTTATAAAGAAAATGAGGCTCAGAGAAACTAAGGGCTTTTCCAAGGTTTTAGAGTACGTGGTGGAGCCAGCATTTGCACTCAGGTCTGCCTGACCTGAGTCCCTACCTCTAAGCTCCCAGGCTTGTGTGGGGCATGGTGAGTACACAACAGACAAAGGAGGTATACACCAAAGCTGCATCCACAGCCTCTCTGGTTAGAGTCCAGCAGTTTAACAGTTCAGTCTCTGGGGACGAGGGAGAGGAGAGTGGGGGTTGGTGAGCATGAGAAGCCCAGGAGGCAGGGTGAGACAGGATGGGGGCTCGTCAAGGTCACCTTCAAGTTTGGGGGCAGGTTCTGTTTCGGATGGCTTTTGTCTGTGTATTGGGGAAAGTGGCACCCACTCCGCACATTTCCTTGACCATCAAGGGAAGTAGACCTTGGGTGTTCTGAGCGGACGGCCTGATTACCCTCAAGTTCATGAGGTCAGGTCCTGGGCTGGCTGCTAATGGGATGCCTTTCCCTTTGCACATCTCTACAACAACCCAGAGGAGTGGGTGTATGGGGATGGACACCTGGGGTTAGGGACTTCAGGGCGCCTCATCTCTTTAGACTCTGAGGCTATAGCAGGGAGCCTCTGTCCATCACTGCCTTTCCTCTCCATATACCCAGGAGTTCATCCTTTCCTGCCTGGCCCGGGACCCTGCCCACCGGCCTTCTGCCCACAACCTCCTCTTCCACCGTGTGCTCTTCGAGGTGCACTCACTGAAGCTATTGGCAGCCCACTGCTTCATCCAGCACCAGTGTGAGGGGCAGGCGGGCCTGGATGGGTCAGGGGCCTTGAGGTTGGGATGGGGAAGGGGCCCTACAGGACCTGTGGCTGGGAACCACACTGAGTGCTCCTGGCCCACAGACCTCATGCCTGAGAATGTAGTGGAGGAAAAGACCAAGGCAATGGACTTGCATGCAGTCTTGGCAGAGATCCCCCGGCTCCACCAGCCCATGATGCAGTGGCGGTGAGCAGTAGCCACCCTGAAGTCTCTTCTTAGTTCCCTGGCCAGCCCCTGGCTGGCGACCCCTCATGTACCACCCACCCCCTGCCAGGTATTCAGAGGTTTCCTTCTTGGAGCTGGACAAATTCCTGGAAGATGTCAGGTGAGAGCTGGCTGGCATGAGACTTGGGGACAGGTGCTGTCAGGCCTGGGCCTCCAGCCATTCCAACCCCATGTGTCCTCAGAAATGGGATCTACCCACTGATGAATTTTGCTGCCGCTCGGCCCCTGGGGCTTCCTCGTGTGTTGGCCCCACCTCCTGAAGAGACCCAGAAGGCCAAGACCCCAACACCAGAACCCTTTGACTTGGAGACCAGAAAGGCAAGTCCCACCACCCCTGCTGCACTATGTTGTCTCCTCTCCAGATAATAGGTGCCCTTTTTTGGGGGCCTGCATTCCCCATCCCCCTGGGCCAGCTCTCCTCCAGACTGCCAGAGACCAGGTCCAGGCTGCAGCCTCTGGGGGGAATGGAGGGCTTTAGGACAATGTTAGGCTTTCGATTTTCCCCAGAGGTTCCTTGTTCCTGCAGACCCTTCCCCCATCCTGCTGCCTGCCCAAATCCCTTTGTATTCCAAACAGCCTGCTCTGGATATCTCATCTGCCCTGGCATTTTGATGCCACCTACTTGGTTGCTGGTTCTCTGACAGTTGGGTCCTAGGATGCTCCCCAGGGCCTCCCAGGAACCACATTTCCCCAAATCTCTCTTCCTGCAAGGCTGCTTCCTGGTCGGCCTCTGTCTCTCCCTCTACTGTTCAAGCCCATATCCACTGAGTTCCCAAGGTTCTGGGTTGGCCTTGGGTGTGGCCATAGCCACTTCCCTGATCTGAGCCACCACCATTACTCACCTGGATGTTGCACCAGCCCCCAACCCGGCCCTTGTCCTGGCTTCCTTCCTTCCACCGTGCAGCCCGAGTTCACATCTTAACATCTAAAGTTACCTGGTTCCTGGCTGCCTAGGAAGCTCATGGGGGTCCTCAGCCCAAGCCCCCAACTCTCTTGAAGACTGGTCCTGCTGGCATCTTGCTCTTCTTCACTATCATCCCTGCTGACTTCTCTCCCCTGCTTCCCACATTTCTTTCCTTTTCAAGGCATTGTTTTCACTTGTGATGTCTCCTCTCCATCCTTCTATACCCAGCTCCCATGCCTACTCATGGAAGTTTTCCTTAACCCACCAGGCAGCTAGGGATGAGATGTGCTTTCTGGGCTAGTCCTGGGAGATTTTTCTAATCCCTAATCTCTGCTGTCCTTGCTGGACCGCTCTGCCAAGTTCCTGTCCTTGGGGGTAACCTGGCCTCCCCACCTCCAGGTAGTCCAGATGCAGTGCAACCTGGAGAGGGGCGAAGACAAGGCACGCTGGCATGTGAGCAGGGTCCTGGGCTGGGCTGGGCAGGCAGGGTGGGCCAACTGTGGCTGCACCCGACCACACCCTCCCACCCCCCAGCTCACTCTGCTTCTGGTGCTGGAGGACCGACTGCATCGGCAACTGACCTATGACCTGCTACCAAGTAGGCAGAGGAGGGCCGTGGGTGGTGAGCTGGGCCCAGGCACCAGGCATACAGCAGCCTCACAATTTACCCTTTGTCCTGCTACAGCCGACAGTGCCCAGGACCTTGCAGCTGAACTTGTACACTATGGCTTCCTGCATGAGGTAGGCAGGGGGCATGGCTGAAGGGGTAGGGGGTGGGGCTCAGGATATGTCATACTGCTTCATCCCATCATGCTTCCCTCCTCTCTGTAGGATGACCGCACAAAGCTGGCTGCCTTCTTGGAAACCACCTTCCTCAAGTACCGAGGGACCCAGTCCTGACCTGCCCAACCCTGGAGGCCCAGCCCAGGTGCTGCTGGCTCAGGCTGAGCCATGGAGAGAAGAGTCCAGCACAGCTGGAGCTGTCCTCACCAGCGTGCCTGACCGCTAATGAACACCAGCCTGCTAGTGAGGACCCCCGACCTTCTCCAGCAGTGTGGGGCCCTGGCGTGGTAGTGGGGCCCATCAGGGGCCAGGAGCCTGGGTGGGATGGAAGGTAGGGGTTAACCCTGAAACCTCTGCCAGGGGAATGGTTCCATGTGGTCAGGGAGAGCAGCCACCCCTGGTTGGTACCACAATCAGGCCAGGAACCTGGACCTCAAACTGTGATGGAGCCCTGCTGGTGTCAGACACAGCACAGGGCACCAGAGAGGGCCAGATCCAGCCAGAGAAACAGAAGTAGAGGGCCTGGAATTGAGGTCATGGTCCGCAAAGCCTCAGTCCCATGCGGAACCACCCTGGAGCACCCTCCCCCCACCTTCCACTTGCTCTGAGAGCAGGACCTGTGCCCTCCCTCTTAGCCCCTCCAAGGGGCTATTTGTCTTCGATGTTTCCTAGCTGGGAGAGGTCAGAGGTCAGGTATCTGCCACACCTCCATCATGGAACAGCTCCTGCTGGGGTCCTGAGGATGTGCATTCCTGTCTCTCTATCTCTCCCACTCACCTACTCTTCCAATCTTAGACATACCCCGGTGGATTCTACACACACACCCCTCAAATCCCCTGCCCTGGCCTCTTAGTTCCTGGGCTATTTAACAGTCTTGAACATTTTAAATTGTATATATAAAGGTAATACATCAGGTTTCTTATTAAGCATTTCAAGTGTCAAAATAGGAAGGCTCTCCAATGTATTAGTTCCGCTAAAATTTATCACAAATTTGGTGCCTCAAAATCCAAATTTATTCTAATTTGTCACAATAGGTCAGAAGTCTGATATGGGACTAAAATCAAGCGGTTGGCAGGCTTCATTTCTTCTTGGGGGCTTTCGGGGAGAACCCACTTTCCACTCATTTGGGCTACTGGCAAGATTTATTCACTTCCTCATAGTGCTATGGCTGCAGTCCCCATTTTCTTGCTGGCTGTCAACTGAGGACCACTCTCAGCTTCTAGAGGCTGCCTGCATTCCTTGGCTCTCTCTCCACCTTCAAGGCCAGCAGCAGCAGGCCAAGTCTTTGTCTTAAATCAGCTGATTGTCTGCTGCCAGAAAAGTTCTGCATAGAGTACTCCTGTGATTAGGGTGGGTCCACCCAGATAATCCAGAATGATTGCCTCAAAATCTAAGATTAAGCACATCTGCAATGATTAGGGTGGGTCCACCCAGATAATCCAGGATGATTGCCTCAAAATCTAAGATTAAGCACATCTGCAATGATTAGGGTGGGTCCACCCAGATAATCCAGGATGACTGCCTCAAAATCTGAGATTAAGCACATCTGCAAAGTACCTTGTGCCATGTAAACTAACATTCACTGGCTCCTGTGGTTAGAGAAAGGAAATCTTGAGGGTAGTGAGATTTTGCCTAGACTATCACCCTAACCAAAAGCCAAAAACCAAAACGAAACTGCCAAGGCATATCAAATAAATGAACAATTACAGTGAATCTCAAGTTATCTTAAACATTCCAATACTATTTACAACGTTTTCTAGAATTTCATACCTTTCAACTTAAAGTGCAGATTTCAAATAACTTACACAGTCTAGGAGGGAATCCTGCTGTTAAGCTGTCTGATTGTGCATGGTCATGTTGAGTGGCAAATACATAACAGATTGTACCAGTGATTAAACTGAACTTAAAAGCATCAATAGTACAGTTTGCATTTAATCATGCTGATGCTGAGTTTTTGTTTTCTCTTCATAGTTTTATGCATATCGTTTTAAAAGTGAGACATTTTGGAGGGAGTAATAACAAATAAGAAATGCAGTCTAATCCACCCAAAATTCAACTCTGTTAGCTGTTTTTCAGGCATTTAGAATCTGTGTATCTCAAAACCACAAGCATGTTTTTGGTCCTGTTTACTGATTTTTTCTATATTAGGTGCCCAAAGGGGCAACCTCTATGGCAGTGGTGGTGGACCTATGGCACTCGGACCACAGCAGGCTGTTTGTTATGATTGTGAGATCTAAAAGATTTTCCACGTCTGCTCTAAGGGGAGAAGAAATCTGCCTCCCCTCTGACCCAGCACTGTACCAGTGTGATGTGTGGCATAGCTGCCTGGGTATGATTCAGCTTCATTAGCATAGGTCCCAGCAGAAAACAAGATGTCTGTCTTATTTACTTTTCTCTCATTGCTGGAACAAAATATCTAATACCCAAAGTTAAAGAGGGAAAGTTTTTTTTAGCTCACAGTTTTTGAAGGTTTCATGTCCAAAATCGGCTGGCTCCAAGTCAGGATTCCAGCTGGCAGAGGGGCAACAGTTCATGGCAGTGGAAGACAGCAAAAGCAATGAGAGAGAGACAGGCCTCTTTCTGCCCTTTTATCTTATCCAGACTTCTGGGATTAGGGTGGTGCCAATCCAATCAGTGGACTGATCCAGCAGTCACCCACCCATAATCCCAGCATTATACTACAGATCAAACACACACTCTAGATTCAGGCACCTCTGAAAAAACTGACCACATGAGGCTTTAGACGCAAATCAACAATGTCCCAGGTTATATTGTATTTCTTACTGAACGTTTTATTTTCCATGGAGTTGATCATTTTTTTTTTTTAAGATTTCTATGTGTGTCCATTAATTCATCTTTGGATCTTTGGGATTCCCCTGCAGAAATGTGGACCTCCTAATACTTGGGGGAGTTGGCATAATTTACCATTTTCTTCTTTTCCCGGAGCTCCCAGTAGGTAAGCCCTGTGCCCTAGGCAGCCTGCTCTTGGACTATAGCCCAGCTGTCAGCCTTAGTTACTCTTCACTAGAGTCTTGGAAAACTCCCTTTCTCTTTTCTCTGGGTCCCATGCTTTCCTCTCTCTTCACTCACCCCATGTGAGAAGGAACATCCTCCAAGTAACGTGAGAGAGGACGCATGAGAGGTTCCAAAGTCTTTGCTTTCTTGTCTTTATTCTAATCTCACGTGCTTGAAGGGGTAGCTAGGTACAAGAAACTTGGCTCCACACCTGTAATCTCAGCACTTTGGGAGACTGAGGCGGGAGGATCACAATTTTGAGTTCCACTTGGGCAATTTAATGTGACACTGTCTCAAATAATGAAGGACTGGGGATGTAGCTCAGTACAAAGGCCCTGGATTCAATCCCCAGTACCACTGTCATTAAAAATGCAAAAGACTTATGCAATCTGAAGAGAAACCACAGCATACCTTTATCATTAAAAAAAAATCTTGACTCCTTTGAAAATAACTTCTCCCCCAGGATTATGAGGGTGTCATACCATTTTCTTCTAGTTCCCAGAACCCTCATGCCTCTGAATTCTGATCCTTTACCTATGAGCTCTTTCTCAGTCTTTTCTTTGCTCCAGTGCTTTGGAAATTTTCAGTGACTCATTCATTATCCAGAAACAGAAATTTTCTTGTTATTTTTTTGTTGCTTTCCTTATTTTCTGCATTTGCAATGCTGGACTTACCTTTTGAGGGATGCAATCATGTGGTTAAGAGCCCAGGCTCTGGAGCTGATCTGTGTTTCCTGAGGTATGACCTGTTGACCCTGCACCTCCTTATTGGGAGTACTGAGGAGAGTCCCCCTACGTAGTGTTGCTGTAAGGAGAGGGGAGAATGTTGAGCTCTGGTGTGATAAGGACAGATGGTGCCAGGCCCCAAGTACCTAAGTGAAGCGTTACATATCACTGTCTACTTGGAAACTGCTACCAAGGGGCACCCCGGTGGTGGTAAGACCTAGCTCACACACGCCCTCCACTATGGAGGCTCTGGTGGGCCAGGTGGGTCCTAAGCACAGGAGAGTACTGACCAGTGTGATTACTGCAGCTTCTGTTTCCTACCCATATGGTTTTACTGTTATGCATTCAGGAGGATTCCAATGTTACCTTTCAAGCCTATTGAACTGTTCATTTTCTTCAAATTTTCCTATTGGAAGGACTCTCTTATTTGATTAATGTTCTTTCTCGGTAGCTCTCTGTTCTCGTATTTTGGATGCAAAATCTCTAATATCTCTGAGCATTATATTTTAGCTCTTTTTTTCCTTCCACTGCTTCCTTTTTTTTTTTTAAAACTTCAGTTCCTTTTGTAGCTTATTTTCTTATCCTCTTGTACCTGGTGATCCTGAACTGTCTGGTTGTGCTTCAGAGTGAGGTGCTCTTTCTGACTGGGGCTTGTTGCTTGGTTAGTTGAGAGTCTGGAGTCTGGCTGGATCATTCTACTAGATACCTTTGCTGCCAGTCTTCTTTCGAGCTGGGAGCTGTTGAAAGGGGGAAACCTCCGCTCAGAAGAGCCTGGGTAGAACATGTTGGAGGTCAGGCTCTGGGAACAGGATTGGTGGAGGCGGGGAAAGCGGAAGGACTCTTGCTCACTGTCCCATGTTTGAAACGGCAAAGCCTCAGTGCTCCTCTTCTGGAACTTACATCCCAGCTCCTGCTGGTGAGGCAGTGCCTGTCAGCCCCAATGGTAGGCAGGAACAGAAGTCTGGGGTGTCCTGCTTTCACAAGATCCTTCAGCCACTAACCTCCACAGCCCAATGGGCTAAAGCAGCTCTGCTGTCCAGTTCCACAACTCCAAGACAATCTGCCTGTCTGCCTCCATAGGCTTTGCCTTTGCAAAGCTCCTTTCCTGTCATTTTGGAGGTGTTTCAGGAGAGGAGGAAAATATTCTTGCCTATTTTATTAGATGTGTGTCTATTCAATTTCTAAATTTCTCCAAGGTTGAAGAGACCTGCCTAGCCTGGGAAGATACTTCATTACCTCAAGCAAACGAAGATGCCTGAGCTTACTGAGCTGTTCCTTCCAGGTGGATAACTGAGTTGAGATCTTGGGATTGAGTACAGCCCATGGCAAATGTTGGGGCTCTTTGCTCATGGGTGGACTCCCCGAGCCCTTAAATATAGCTCAGGGCCTAACAGGACCTCCATCATAGTGTTCCCTAAGGATGACTGACTCCCAAGCTGCCCCAGGCTGCAGGTCCACTAATTGAATGCCATCTAACCTAAAAAGAATTTGTACTAAGAGATATTTCAGTTTTTATGTCTCTCTCTCTTTTTTTTTTTTTTTTTTTTTTTTTTTTTTTTTTGTCTTTTTGAGACAGGGTTTCAGTATGCAGTTCAGGCTGGCCTAGAACTCACTTTGTAGCCCAGGCTGGCCTTGAATTCGCAGCAATCCTCCTGCCTCAGCCTCCACAATGCTGGGATAACAGGCGTGCGCCACCATGCCCAGCCCCTTGTGTCTTTGAAGCTTTGTTTCCCCCAATAAATATAAGTTTCTTTCAAAAAAAAAAAAAATGCATCTCAAAATCTGAGGTTCGGCCTGAGATGTGCTTTTTGTTACCTGTCTCAGCTGTCTACACAGACTTCCTCAGCCTGAGAAAGCCAATCTTCTGTCTCCTTGGTAACAGCAAGCAAACAAGCCTAAGTCTGTCTGTAAAGTAGACAGAAATACAGCACCGGCCTCAGCGGAAGGTGACGCAAGTGTGCGAGCCCAAGAACGCTACAGACCTCGCGGGTATAGGCCCTCGGATGCGCACATTCCCACCACCGGGCTCTGCCCCACCTTAATCCTTCAGCACTGGTCCTCCTAAACTCCGCCCCCCGTCCGCCCTGTCCCGCCCCATCTGAGACTCTAATTTTCCCGCCCCGGAAGCGCGTTCCTCTCCTTCCGCGTCTCTCGGGGGGAAAGGTATTTATCGCGATAGTTGCTCTGCTGGCTGCCGGATTGCACGAGACTACGGAAGACTGTAGCGTGTGGTGCGCTTAGCGGCCGCGACGGACGCAAGATGGCGACGGCAACCATAGCTCTTGTAAGTGACCCACAGCGGCCACAGCGGCCCTCAGTTGGTAGGAACACGTCGTCGCCCGGGCCGGATTGTGGAAGGCCCTTGGTGGACGGCTGTTTTCCGGAGCCTCTTGCGGATGCGTCGTGCGGATGCGGGACGGGGGTGGGGCGGGTCGGCCTTGGCCCAGCCACAGCTTCCGGCCCGCGGACTCCAGCTTCCGGCGGGCCGCAGGACTAGCCGGGTGCTGTCCTGGCTCTGTTGTTGGGGTGAGCCCCGCAGTCCTGCTGCAAGTGGCGTCCAGGAAAGATGGCATCTGCGCCCACCGCCCCCGGGTGCTCTCAGGAGGGGGGAGTGGAAGGGGCGGGCCTGCAGTCTATAGAGGTCGGGTGCTTTGGTCTGCCGCTGTGATCGGTCTCCGCCGATACTCTGCAGGGAAACTCTTAACCCTGTTCTGTTATTCCACGTAGAGTAAGGATGTGCTCTCACATGTCTTTCGAGCAGTCGCCCTGTGCCGGTCGCTGTGGGAGGATTTTGAGGCACAGTGGGGAACTAGCCAGAGGCACTCCTTGTCTTGGTCCGGAGCTGGTGAGCACCAGAGACCACTTTCCTCTCTAGTGTACCTTGTGCTAGGCACCTGAGGGAGCCGTGCTAAGGGTGGCATGGGCGCCCAGAGGAAGGAGCCCCTCCCCTTCTCTGCTTAGCGCCCATCTTTGAGGCTAGGCAAGCCAGGAGTGCACAGGCAGTGATCAGCACTTGTGCACAACGTTGCGGACTACCTTCCTTCCCATTTAGCTTAGGGACCACCCTTGGCCCCGTCCCTTTGCAGCTCATCTCTTCCCCAGCCCACATCCTGAGAATGGGATAAGACCTGTTTGAAAAGGCAATTTGGGCAGGTGGCTGGAGGTTAGGCCCGTAG